CTCAGCTCCCTCATCCCCCTCAGCCTCCTTAGCCTCCTCATCCCCCTCGGCTCCCTCATCCCTCTCAGCCCCCTCATCCCCCCCCTCATCCCACCACAGGGCCTGGGTCCCCTCTGGCTCCTCACACCCCTCAAGGACAGCGACCCAGGCCCTGGGGACCACCCGTTACCCCAGAGCTGGGGTAGAGGCCAAACTCAAACCCACACACACGCACACCAGACTCTTTACTTCCAACACTTGCTGTATTTCACCTTTTGTGGCTGCTTCGTGAGGATGGAGCTGAGGGGCCAGCAGGAGAGGAAGGAAGGCCAGACGTGCCCCAAGAGCCAGCCACCTCCAGCACAGGGACAGCCAGGCAGCGGTGGGAAGGCAGGTATTTGACCATCCCCCAGTGCCAGGGCAGCAAACACTGCTGGCCCAGCACCCCCAGGGTCACACATGCTCAGCGCTGTCCCTCCTCCATTATTAAGCCAGGTTCTATGTCAAACCTGATACAAGGAAATTAAAAGAATGGAGAAGCAATGGAGGGACAAGCAGGCAAAATGCTGTAAACCAAAACCACCACATTGCTGGCTTTCTTTGTAAGGAGAAAGTTGTCTATAATTTACAGCCTTTCCCTCCCAGCACTTTTAGATCAGCCTGGGGACAATTACAGCAACAAGTTCAAACATTTAAAAAAACCCAACCAGCCACCACACACCAGTCACGTGCAGCCTTTGACCTTCACCTCTAGATCCACGTAACTACACTCTGCTTTCCATTCCTGACTGCTCTTTTTCCCTGTTCCTCACACCACCTCCACACCTCAGTTTGACCTGTGTGTGCTCCTTCAGGCCTCCCCAATATCCCCATCTGCCCCAGACCCCCCCGGCACCCCAGCAGCAGTAATTAACCATCCACTGAAGTTACTGTTGGCTCAAGGTGCACATTGGGATCACACAGGGCAGAGCTATGACCTCACGTAACTGTGCTGCACCTTCTATCACATGATATCAGGTCTGCTTTTAGAGCTGGGAGATCAAAATAGAGACTGAGCAGAGAGTTATGCAGTTGGTCCTTTCCTTATTCACGTATCTCCCTTGGCTTTCTGGCACTCAAAACCAAGTACTGCTGGAGCTGTGTGCCATGTCAAAACCTCCACAGCTAGTCTTCTCCAAAGACAATGCACTTAGATTGAAAAAATATTTAGCAAGAGACTCTTAAGGGAATATGGACAGCTTTATGAAGAGCATTTCAAGCTCAAGCCATTATATGGAGGCATCAGAGGAATCATAAGACATCTGCTTTGTGCCAAAGAGAATCAAAGGGCTTTTAAACCCTTACGAACAAATTTTCTCATTTTCTTCACTTATTTTCTGAAGTTCTGAGCTCCCATCCAAAATCTGACCACAGCGCTAACCTAGCAAACACAACAGAGAAAGGGAAGCTGACCCAAGTAATTTCAGCTGCTCAGAACACCCCCATGGAAGGAATAAGTGGGATGTAAAAATATTCCAAGTTTATCACAAATTAAGTTGCTGCTAGTAACAGACATTTTCTAGTATGCATCCATGGTGCCCCTTTAAATTAAGGAAAAAGCCCACAAGTCTCAGTGTATTAAATATTCTGATTCAGAAAATAGTTTCCTGGAGAACTGCCTGTTTATTGCCATTCACCAATTCTCACATTAAATATGAATCCTCTCCACATCAGCCTGTATCCTCACCCCCAAGTCAATGTCACAAACTGTGTTTGAGGAAAACAAAAAAAAAAGTCCAGAAATAGCCTTTTGAACAGAGAAAGCCACTTCAGGAATTTCTAAGCCATCCATTCTGCATTACACTTCAAAACCGACACATTTTACTTCAGCAGCAGCACATCTGATGTCCTTTTGTCCTCCTAATGGGGCTGGAGCCCTCAAGCAGGTTTGTTTCAGCACAGCAAGGACAAAACAGCCAGGAGGAGCAGGGAGGTTTGAGCAGAATAACTAAACACACACTGTGATTCCAATGGGATCTGAAGGGCCTAGGTCTAAAAAAACCATTGAAAGGCTGTGGGATTTGCATGCAGGTCACTCATCTGAGCAGGGTCCTTGATTAGTGTCTGGGAAAGTTTCTAGATGTTAGTATTTCCAGCACTAGCAGACTACAATAAACCTATTTACAAACAGCACCTTCACTTGCTTTTGCTGAAAGAGGTCAGAGACAGAGGGGACTGAATTCACCTGCCTTTCCCAAAGGGAGCCTCATTACTAGAGATGTTGGGAGAGGACGCATGATAATCCTGCAGGGCTTGTGGTTCTCCTCCCTCACCCAAGGAACACACATAAATATTCGGCATTTAGCACAGGTGGGTGGTGACAACCCTGCAGCAGTTGGAGAGATGCAGTGCTCTGCTCTGAAGAGCCACACAGCAGGAGGTTAAAATACCCACCATGCTCAACAAGGATGGCCAGACACTGGTACCATGTCTAACCAAGCACAGGGATCCTTCAAAAGCACAAAGTACTGTGTGCTGTGTTTATTTTTAACAGGGGGCTGTGCAAGAGCCACACTCCACTGACAGACTGCCAGTGACCTGCAGCTCAGCAAGGACCACTAATTTACACAGAATGAAGAAAACCCAGAAGAGCAGCACTGCAGATGGATTTGTGGCTCTCTCAGCTGCACTACAGTGCTTCAGCCAAATTAGTCCCTCAGATGTGAGCCAGGACTCATGATCACAAGAGCAACAGATATAGGAAGGAATTAGCACCTTCCAGTTTGCTTATCTGAGTACACAGAAATACTCTTTCATCTGGTAGCAGCTCCCCAAAACACACACATAACTGTTCTGAGCTTCCATAACACCTTTCACCTTCAAATGTACTAATGATCTCCACAATAAGCCCTTTTCTGACATACCACCAAAATGCAGCCCTTTCTGATGTAGAAACATCATCTGAACAGTGCCTGGGTTGACCTAAAGAAAAGCAGAAAGAAAACTGCTTTTCCTCATGCCCACACAGAACAATGAATAATTATTTTCTTCCTGTTCACCAAAAGATTTTTCTTGTATCTCTCCCCAGGCTATAACCATGTACACAGAAGTTAATTACTGATCTGGGAAAATAATCAAGAGACAAGCTGAGCTGAGCAGAACATGAATGTGTGGCTCCAAGGACCCAAGACCCAGGGAACCCAAAGCATATGCCACTTGGCCAACCCTCCTGTGTGGGTAAGCAGAACACACAGCTCTGACACCAGTTTTCAGGATATTAAGGCCCCACTTAACTAAATCTACCCCCAAAGGCAGGAGTCTGGCACTGTCCCACTCATCTCAGCAGTACCCCAAACAATCTACTTCACTGTAGATACTCTTACAGTTTTCTCCTCTCCTTCCTTCCCTCCTTCCATCATACCCAAGAATTGATGACAGGTAAACCTTTCTCAGAGGACTAGCATGCTTCCCAGTCCTTATCCTCACTGTCGTCCCACTGGGGATTTGTAACAAAACTAATGGTGACATCAGCTGAGCTATCACAGCTTTTGAAGGACAAAGTGTCAAATGGCTCCACGGGACAGCTTCTGGATATGCTTAACATTATTCTTATATCACCAGTGAAAAAATAACACCCTTGTGGCAGGCATTTCTGTGTGGTATGTTTAATGAGTAACTCAGGAGAAAATGGATTGAATCACTCTGAGATTCCTATCACACAGCACTAGAAAAGCTCAAGTGTTTCAGTAAACTTTTTGTAGGGCTAGTGATGCAGTTCCCAGAGAAGTCATCAGAAAGCTCCTGCCTACCTCCCAGACTTGTCCTTTTAACAAAAAGCAGTATCTTCCCCATTAGGAACAGCATCCAGTCAAATCAGCACCTGCAATTCCAAAATCTAGCTCATGGAAGCTCACATCACCATGGCCAGGGGAGGGAGGGACAGCACGTGCCCACTTCATCTTCTGCCAAAGAGGAGCCACCTCCCAGGGGAAGGGCAGCAGCTCTTCCCCATGCACAGGGGCAGGCGGGGGACAGTCGAGCGAGGCCTGGCAGGGGTGTTAAGGGATTGCTTAGGAATACAGCTGGAACAGGACCAACACTTGGTATGATTGTGAAGGCTGAGACTGTAGGAATGATAAAAATAGTAGCAGCTGCTTAGATTGGAAAATATGATTTGGTCTACATGCAAACCCAGC